CTGCTTCTCACTACTAAAGGGCGATGCTTTCAAATTCCCCAGGCCTGCACACATTTCCAGCTCTCTGTCCGAGGACTGGCTTATAAGGAGTGTGGATTAGTGGAGAGAGTGGACTTTATAGCCAGAAGAGCTTTACCTTGAGCAAGTCCTTAACCTCTTTTAACATCTTTCTCTTCGATTATAAGTGAGGATAATCACACCTTCCTCACAGGAGCAGGGCAAAGATTATGGATAACATATAGAAGCACCTGGCACATCATAAGTGCTCTGTATTCGTGGCTGTTTTAGTTTATTCCATGGGGGCTTCTCTAATCTACTCACCGGACCCTGCAAGCCTTTCCCTCTTCTGCCTCCACCTCTTTGTTCAGCCCAGTTGCCCCCACCTGCCCTGCGCTCTCTTACCATCTCTATCTCTGGAAGCTTCCATGTATCTTTCTAGCCTCTGTTCCATCTGAGAGCTTTTGGGACAACTTCTCTGACCTCAGTGACTTTTCCCATCACTGAACTCACAAAGTGTTTATCTTCTGTGGGGAAATAGGAGGTGGAAACCCAGAGGATCCCAAGATCCTGTCTCTTTGGCCACCATTAGACTTATTAGAAACCAAGATGTTGACGATAACATGCAGAAGGAACTTCAGTCACATGTGGCCAAAGAACAGTTCCCAATGAACTCTTCCTGAACTCCCTACACTACGATCTCTGTGTCGTCTGGTGGGAAGGGTCATTTGCCCTCCCAAAAGTCAACTCCCTGATGCCTTATTCAGGAGTGTCTCATAACATAAAGTAACCAATTCGTTCATTGATAAATTAAGACATGCTGGGGCTTCTAGCTTGTGGACAGGCTGGAGGGCCATTGGACACATCAGCGTATATTCACACAATCAGCCAGTATTGCATCTCCCCATGGGCCTGGCTCCAGCTGCTTCTACATCCACTCAGTACAAATCAGATGAAGTCATTCCTCTCCGGTTCTCAGCAGTGCTGCTAGGAGATACTGGGCAACTCCTTATCATGTCCTACAGGCCCATCACAATCTGACCTCGAACTTGTTTTCTAGGCTCTTCTTTTGCAGAAGTCCCTTCATACTTCTTGCTGTTTCCCAAGCCCGCCATAATCTTGCCTGCTTCTTGTCTTCCCTCTACCTGGAATGTGCTTTTTTTTTCTTTTTTTTTTTTTTTTGGAAATAGAGTCTTGCTCTGTCATCTGAGCTAGAGTGCAGTGGCATCACCATAGCTCACTGCAACCTCAAACTCCTGGGCTC